TTGTAAAATAAAATTTGAAAGAGTTGTAGATCTTTTGAAAAATAGTGATTTGGTTTGTGCTTTCTGCTGCTGAAAGTATGATGGATTATCTGTCATAGATCACAAACTTTGTTTCCTGAACTACATATTTTTCGTTGAAATATGAAATTTAAAATTACCCACATTTTCTAAACATTGCTTTTCTTGAATCGAGTGTCCGATAACAACCGAGTTGCCGATAACGCGTTGAGCAGTGTGATGAAGCTCTTTCAAATGACACCAAAGTCGAGACCTTGACTGTGACCTTTAGACTGCTAAAAATAGTTTTTTGAACTTTTTTGCCGCCGGGCGCATAGTGTTTCACAAACACATCTTGTTAAATCTATTTTTTTAATCGCTATTCAATTAGCTAAATTCCTTGATACGTCTAAATCAATATAAATCAGAATTAAAAATATAATGCATGAAAATGATCTACTCAATTTATTCCATCATGGCAGTTAATATAAAATAGAAGATTTTCTGTATATATTTGATTGTACAGAAGTCTTTCTTCTTAATTAGTTTAATACTTTATTTTAGTCTAATTGAACATAAAGTTTTAAATAAATTACACACAAACTTATCATAATAACACATTTTAACGGCAAAAGGAAATTCTCAAAAATGCAGCTCATATTGCTTTAAATTATCAGTTAAGGGAGACACGGGTTATGTAATTGTCCCCCGCTTTCGCGAAAGCGAGGGTACATTAAATCTCATTCGTCTGTCTATCAGTCTGTCCGTCACAAAAACTTTAAATCTTGCCCATAACTTCTGATTTAGTGGAGGTATGGCTTTCATATCTCACATGTATTCCTTGTGACAAGACCTTTCTTTGGGTACCGCTAAATTTGACCTTGACGTTTGACCCACTTGTACACAAAAATTCCAAACTTTTACTTTGGCCATTACTTTTTAATGGTTGGTACTAGGACTTTCATATTTCACATATGTACTCTCTATGGCAAGACCTTTCACTGGATACCACCAACTTTGACCTTTTGACCTTGGAGGTTTACGTACTTATGAAAATTTAACTTTGACTATAACTTTTGAACGGTAAGGGCTAGGGCTTTCATACTTCACATATACAGTCCTTGTGAGAAGACCTTTCATTGCATACCAAGAACTTTGACCCTTTGACATTGACATTGACCTTTGAGTTTTTAAAACTTTAACCCTGGTCACAACTTTTGAACGGTAGAATACACGGACTTTCATATTTCAAGTATGTATTCTTTGTGGCAAGACCTTTCATTGGATACCAATAACTTTGACCTTTTGACCTTGACGATTTACGTACTTATGAAAAAACTAACCTTGACCATAAGTTTCGAATGGTAAGGGTTTGGGCTTTTATACTTTACATATGTAATCCTTCAATCTTATTAAAATCAGATCCTTTGATTCGCTCACATAGATCGCTACACAAGGATCTGAAGAAACCCCATTCAGGGTCACCTCCTGGTGACCTCTCAATTATCCAATCAAACGTTAACTTCCAAGAATTTAGAAGTATCTCGGAATTCAGTTACAGAAGTAAAAGCCCGATGACACATGAACGGAAAATCGTGACCTAGTTTCCGTAGCCCGCCAAGAGAATGACTACAGTCTTTTCTGTACAGAAATATAATTATAAGTACTTGCTTTTGTCTTGGTTATTAGCTCTTTGTTTGGTACGAAACGATATCTTCTCCAAAGCCACTGTAACGTGTTCTGGGTCCGATGATTTGGATCAGTCCCCGTGATTATAAAAATGATCAGATTTACAGAAAATAATTACCAAAATGATTAAGATGAAAACGAGTCAATATATACATATATTTCTAGGGTTATCTATCCCTTTATTATAATAGCAAATCAAAAACAAAGAACAATGATCGGGTTGTTGACAGGGATGTATCTCAGGGATCTGTCCCCAGCCGTGTCACTAGACGGCTGTATCCCTTTATACTACACAGGCTGCAGCCAGGTACAAGAAGTAAATAAATATACACAGTTAATATCACTGTATATAATCAAGGAAACACAATACTACATTGGGCAGTTGTATTAATCAACAATGAAACGTCTTTAAATCTCAATCACCGTACATGCTACTTTGCCACCTTCTCTGCTGACAGCTGATCACAAAATGACCATCTCACCTCGGATGCGCTCTTATATATACTCTAGCGCAACATCCGGACTACCCTCGGTTTTCACCATATGTCTAATGATAAAACCCGTTTCAACTGAATCTCGAGCCCGATCGTCACACTACCCACGCCTCGATGCATCATGTGTCCTCACATGACAAACAAAGATACAACTATAAACATTATTTCTTTTATATACTAACAGATGAGTGACCAAACAAGAATGAGGTATGTATGATGAGTGATGAGTATTTATCACCTGCCTGGTGATTATGTATCAATAAGCAAACATGAAAATTAGCAAACATGAAAACTGTACAGAATGTTTCCAACTATTCACCATTTCATCAAAATAATTCTTCGCTTTCTCTCATGCGCTTGATTCTCTGTCCATTTTCACTGTACTTGGTTATGGTAACCTCTTTCACCCTTCTCTGAAAACTCTCTGTCTGGGTGCCATAATCAACAAATTGGACATGTCTTTCTTCTGGGTCAGGTAAAGTCGTCTGGACAGCTCTATCAACACTCTTCTTCTGTATCAATTCCTTTTCTGGAATGATTATTTTCTTGGAGGTTTGGACTGGACTTGGTGCTGTTCTCTTGCGGACAATTCGACCTGCGATTAAATCATCACTATTGGAAGAAGATGGTCCAGCCTCCATTTCCTTCTCCTCGACTTCTATCGCATCTTCCCCAAGCTGAACTTCTGGATCCACATCCCAGTCACTATCCTCATTTTCGTCTACATCTTTGATGATTGGGAAGGCGCATCAGGATGTTTGGTCCGCATATGCTTGTGCAAGTACTCCTTTTTCTTGAAGGACACTTGACATGTTCTACATACTAACATGCTACTGGCACAACTAACCACATGCTTTGTCCAAGCTTCCTTACTGTCCAATTCTACAAAACATACTGGACATATCTCTTTTGCCTTTCTGGGTGTTAGCTTGGTGTTTACCATCTTTGTTCTGCAAAAATTTTGTTTAAGAAAAGCGCATATATAATTTTCTCAATATATATCTACTACTCTGACATTAAACAACTACATGTACTATGCAGATACAACAACTATACAAAAAATTAAATTTGAGGCTCATCAGTAAATCAAACAGTTATATACATGATTGTCGGTGCTTGATAATGCAAACTATTCAGGAACATAGTCCTTCACCCATGCTGAAGCACGTCTATCTCGCTTTGGCTTAGCATTTTCTACTAACTCATCCGTGACTTCTATCTTTGACTGACTGTCATCGATAACCTCAGTCTCAAACTGATCATTTGACAGTTCCGTATTGACAGCTCAGCTGTATCGGTATCCTGACAAAGCTGTTCGTCTTCACCTCTCAGAACCTGTGATTTACAAGCTTTGAGACGATCATAATGTACAACTTGCTCTTTTCCGTTGCGACCACAGTCAGCTTTATACAGAACCTCTGATATTCTAGCCAATATCTTGAACGGTCCTCGCCAGTAAGACGTGAACTTTGGCGAGCATCCAGCTTTGCGTTGAGGGAAGTATATGTAAACCAGATCCCCTTTTTTGAATTTCTCATATGACATTTTCATGTCATAGTAATGTTTCTGTCTTAACATTGCACCCTCTGCATGAGGTCTGACCAAAGAATGTGCTCTCTCCATCCGGTCTTTCAAGATCCATGCCCATTCATTCCTCGGAACTTCTTTCCAAGACGCGGGCATCTCATACAGAATATCTAGGGGTGTCGTCACCTCCCTGCCTAGCATGAGCATGTTAGGGCTGTAGCCCGTGGATTCATGCTGAGATGACCTATACGCCATCATCACGTATGGAATGCTTTCATCCCAGTCTCTGTGGTTTTCATCCACATAGGCACTTAGCATAGCGGCTAGTGTTTTGTTGAAACGCTCCACCATACCATCAGACTGCGGATGGTATGGTGTGGTTCGTGTCTTCCGGATCTGGAGAAGCCCACATACCTCGGTAAAAAGGAGACTCGCGTACTGTCTTCCCTGGTCGGAATGTATGCCATTTCCATATTCTGCATTGGAAACGTCTCGGTCCATTTGGTGAAGTAATCCGAGATGACTAAGATGTACCTGTTTCCGTTTTCTGTCTCAGGAAACTCTCCTAGGATACCCGTAGCTAACCTTTCAAATGGAAATCCAACTTGTAGAGGCTGCATAGGGGCTCTTTTCGTTTTCTGAGGAGCTTTCCTTCTGGAACATATGTCGCAACCTGACACGTAGCTTCTCACATCACTCTGTAGACCTGGCCAATAATAGTTCTGCCTTATCTTATGGAGTGTCTTTGTCACCCATAAGTGAGTCGAGGTCTTTGCATCATGCATCTGCTCTAAAATAAGTCTTCTGTGGGACAAGGGAACCACTATCTGATATGTGGTCATGTCACTATCTTCAATCTCCCACATTCTACACAGCAGATTATCTTTTACTGTAAGCCTACTCCACTGAGCCCAAAGTGATTTCACAAAATATCCTTCGGAAGATATATCACTAAACTCAGGACGTTTCTCGTTTTGTAACCAAGACTTGACAAGTCTTATATCCTTACATTTCTCTTGTATGGTAACCCAGTCAGATACTTCGTTATTTGCTTGAGCTTCGTCTTCTACCGCTCTTGCATGTTCCGTGGATATCTCCATCTTGTCCCAGCCATCAAAATATCCACACTGGCTACACAGTACTCTACTGAGCCCATCGGCATTCCCGTGGAGTTTTCCAGCCCGATGCTCTATCTCCATGTCATAAGTTGATATGACCTCGAGCCAACGAGCCAACTGACCCTCTGGATCTTTAAATCGGAGTAACCATTTTAGCGAACTGTGATCAGTCCTGGCTTGGATTTCTCGAAAAAATCTTAAATTAAATCTCAGACTTAAGTCTGAGTTTTTACTCAAATTTCTGAGAAAAATCTCAAATTTGAGAAAACTCAAAATATTGCATTTCTCGAAAAAACTTAAGTTGTTTTCCTTACTCAAACTCAGACTAAACTTAAGTTACCTTATTAGTAGACTTAAGTCCTTTAATAAAATCTCAAATATGCCGGTGAAAAACAGACGGCAGCGTCGTAGACGTCGGCATAGGCAGAGAGTCGCACACAACAGGCTTGTTGACCGTGAAAACCCTTTAGAATTAATGCCAGAGGAGGAGATTTTCAAAAGATACCGTTTCCGCCCGGCCACAATTTTGTTTATAGTTAACCTATTAAGACGATCCCTTGAGAGAGATACTCTGCGAAGCTGTGCCCTCACCCCCCTTCTGCAAGTTTTGGCCACGCTAAGATTTCTTGCTACAGGAGGTTTTTATTCCTTAATGGCCGATACATTTGACAGCCTGTCCCCATCCACTGTGTGCAGGGCGGTTAAGGATGTGTGCCATTGTTTGTGTCAGGTGTCGAGACAATTTATAAGGATGCCAGCAAGAAACGTAGCTGATGAAGTTAAAAAGCATTTCTATTCCATAGCAGGTATAAACAACAAAACAAGGGAAGTAATCACAGAACAAATGGGTGCAAGTTAAAATGTACCATAAATCCTTCGAATCAATAAAACGTATTTTGATTTTACATGCTTCTTACACTTTGTTGCAACAGATACTTGAAAAAAAAACAGAATGGAAAAGAAATGGAATGATTTTTATTTACACCATCATGTACATATAATTGTTCCAAAACATTAATGGGAAAGGGGGATGGGCACATGAAGTGGAACCCCCTCCCCCTCAAACGTTACTACTGAATTTTAAGAAAGTGTAAGAACTTATAATTTCTCAAATACATTATATTTTCCCATTAGTCACATCCATATGTTTCAATTTTAGGATTATCTGAACTTAAGAAAAATACGCCATATATGACTTTATTCAGGTGCGAGAGAGAGAGAGAGAGAGAGAGAGAGAGAGAGAGAGAGAGAGAGAGAGAGAGAGAGAGAGAGAGAGAGAGAGAGCGGAGGGATACTACCTCAATATCAAAATCATCAAACATACACAATTAAAGAACAGAAATAATTTAAAGCCAAAATAGCGGTTAATTTCAAGATAAAAGATGGTTATTTTCCATTGTAAAGTTGCAACATGCTTAATTGTTTTTTATGTGTTCATAGTTATTTATTTCATGGTCCTAGGTTTTCCAAATGTCCTCGGTTGCGTTGATGGTACATACATCAAAATTCAGGCACCTTCAGAGAATGAGCCAGACTATTTGAATAGAAAAGGGTATCATTCTCTGAATGTACAGGTAATTTGTTATGATGAAGTATTAATTATTTGCAATGGCAAAAAACTGTTCGTAAAATTAATTTTTTAAGAGACATTTTCTGAAATTCTATTCACAAAAAAAAATAATAAAAATCTCTATCTACTCATATATTCAGTTATTTTTATTTTCAGATGATCTCCGATGGTAAATTCCGGATTTTGAACTGTGTGGCCAAATGGCCTGGAAGTGTACATGACAGCCGGATTTTCCGAGACAGTCATATAAGCATTGCCTTTGAAAATGGTACTCTATTTGTCAAGTTTTGTTAATTTATAAGTTGAATAATTATTGTATTAAATCAATCCATGTTTATGAAAAGAAAACCCATTTTTCTACAGCAGTAAATTCTACATAATTCTATAAAAGCGTGTTGCTACTGACATCAATTGCCTTGGATCACTACCTTTGGAAAATCATCGATTAGCACTTGTTGCACTTTTATTGAAATTAGTTCCATCAGAAATTAGATTGCTATTTTCCCCAAAGTTTTTTTAGAAAGGGGGGAGGGGGCACAAATATGAATGATATTGGTACTTTTAAGTATAATCTTAAACTCTTTTTTTAATATTTAAGGACAGTATCCAGGACTACTCTTGGGGGACTCTGGTTACCCGTGCAAACCCCACCTTATGACACCATACCCTGTCCCTTCAAATGATGCAGAAGCAAGATTCAACAACGCTCACGCTAAAACCAGAGTTGTAATCGAGCAAACCTTTCGCATCTTGAAGAAGAGGTTTGCGTGCCTCCATAGCGGCTTGAGAACAACTCCTGAAAAGGCATGCGATATTACTTTGGCATGTGCAGTTTTACACAACATTGGAATCGATCGTAATGACATACTGGATATTGATGATGGTGTATATGTCAACCAGGGGGATGTTAATCTTAATGTAAGGGATCAGTGGGACGGCAAAGATGTTAGAAATTACATATGCAGGTCTTTTTTTGCATAAAGTATTATGTAACAACTGTATCCCTTGTACAGTAATCATATACATAGACAACATTAACATTTGATTTTGTATAGAGTCTAGAAATCATCATAATCATAGACTAGCAAAGCAAACATGGTTTGAATAGCATGTAAATGCAGATATGCATAATTATTATGCCCATGTAATCAAAGACTCAGCTAGGGGCATATAGATTTTGCCCTGCTCGTCCATCTGTCTGTCTATTTGTCTGCCAAAACTTTAACCTTTCTCATAATTTTTAATTGGTTGAAACTGTATTTTTCATATTTCATGTGTATTCCTTGTGAATGGGACCAATCTTTGAGTACCAACAAATTTGACCTATTGACCTAGATTTTATAGTTTGGCCCACTTTATAAAAAAAACTTGAACGTTTTTGTACTGCTTAAAAATTACAAGTAATGATATACCAGAAATAAAAAAAAAAGTAGAAAGAAACACAAATAACTAATTATATAATGGTTTATTATATCATATTTGATATATACACTGTACCAGTACTTCATTGTCTTGTAATTATATTTTTTATGGAAAAATAAGACAGTACACTATACTGAAACTGAACACGTTGAACTCAGTATTTACACCTTAATATACTGTATATACATTGTATTTTTCTTTTAATTAGAAAAAAATTATTTGTGTTCAGACATTCCATAAAATCATTGTAATGTGTAAAATAATTTTACAAAAAAAAAATAGCAAAGGAAGAGAAAAGTACTTAAGCAATTTGACACAAATAGAATAATGATATCTTTATGTTCTTAGTGTAGTCTACTTGTGTGCCAAGTTATACTGAAATCAGACCAAAACTGTAGGAGGAGTAGCATTTTGAAAGAATTTCACAGACATTTCTATTTTTAGTAACCATAACACCGTACAAAATTAAAATTCGATACACAGAATTATGTATCTTAGTGTATTCTACTTATGTGCCAAGTTATATTGAAATCAGACCAAAACTGTAGGAGGAGTAGCATTTTGAAATAATTTTACAGATATTTCTATTTTTAGTAACCACGGCAACACCGTTCATTGAAATCAAAAACCGATAAAAACAGAATTATGTATCTTAGTGTATTCTACTTGTGTGCCAAGTTATAATGAAATCAAACCAAAACTGTAGGAGGAGTAGCATTTTGAAAGAATTTCACAGACATTTCTATTTTTAGTAACCACGGCAACAACGTTCATCAAAATCAAAAACCGATAAATAGAATTATGTATCTTAGTGTATTCTACTTGTGTGCCAAGTTATAATGAAATCAAACCAAAACTGTAGGAGGAGTAGCATTTTGAAAGAATTTCACAGACATTTCTATTTTTAGTAACCACGGCAACACCGTTCATCAAAATCAAAAACCGATACACAGAATTATGCATCTTAGTGTATTCTACTTGTTTGCCAAGTAATACTGAAATCAGACCAAAACTGTAGGAGGAGTAGCATTTTGAAAGAATTTCACAGAAATTTCTATTTTTAGTAACCATGGCAACACCGTTCATCAAAATAAAAAACCAATACACAGAATTATGTATCTTAGTGTAGTCTACTTGTGTGCCAAGTTATACTGAAATCAGACTAAAACTGTATAGCATTTTGAAAGAATTTCACAGAAATTTCTATTTTTAGTAACCACGGCAACACCGTTCATCAAAATCAAAAACCGATACACAGAATTATGTATCTTAGTGTAGTCTACTTGTGTGCCAAGTTATATTGAAATTAGACCAAAACTGTAGGAGGAGTAGCATTTTGAAACAATTTTACAGATATTTCTATTTTTAGTAACCACGGCAACACCGTTCATCGAAATCAAAAACCGATAAACAGAATTATGTATCTTAGTGTATTCTACTTGTGTGCCAAGTTATAATGAAATCAAACCAAAACTGTACATTTTGAAAGAATTTCACAGAAATTTCTATTTTTAGTAACCACGGCAACACCGTTCATCAAAATCAAAAACCGATACACAGAATTATGTATCTTAGTGTATTCTACTTGTTTGCCAAGTAATACTGAAATCAGACCAAAACTGTAGGAGGAGTAGCATTTTGAAAGAATTTCACAGACATTTCTATTTTTAGTAAAAACACCGTTTCAAAAACCGATACACAGAATTATGTATCAATACTTGTGTGCCAAGTTATAATGAAATCAAACCAAAACTGTTAATTTTGAAAGAATTTCACAGAAATTTCTATTTTTAGTAACCACGGCAACAACGTTCAAAAATTACACAGAATTATGTATCTTTGTAGTCTACTTGTGTGCCAAGTTATACTGAAATCAGACTAAAACTGTAGGAGGAGTAGAGTTTTGAAAGAATTTCACAGAAATTTCTATTTTTAGTAACCACGGCAACACCGTTCATCGAAATCAAAAACCGATAAAGAGAATTATGTATCTTAGTGTAGTCTACTTGTGTGCCAAGTTATATTGAAATTAGACCAAAACTGTAGGAGGAGTAGCATTTTGAAAAATTGTTTACAGACAGACGGACAGACAGACGGACAGACAGACAGACAGACGGACAGACGGACGGACGCCGGACGCATTACTATCGCATAAGCTCTTCTGGTCTCTGACCAGTAGAGCTAAAAAACCACATGGAAGCTGAACACATTAATTTATCACAGAACTTTTACATTGATGTAATGAAATAAAATATCACATGTACATATTAAAGAATTAATCAATATGTATAATTTCTGCAAGATGTAATTTTCTGTAAAATTTATTACAATATTCTTTTGACTTTAATATCTCAGGAAGAAAAATTTCTTTTTGTATTGCATAGGAAAAACTAGCAGGTATCGTTAATGAGTACATGTAGATGTATTAATTTGGCTAAAATGTGGGTTAAAAATATTTACATACAGTGGTTTGGATTTACACACAGGCAGTAATGATAACTTTAATTATTATAACAATATTTGTTTCATATGATATGCTGCCATTGTCATTATTTCAAAATAACTTCAGTCTTCAATAGTTTATATTGTCATTTTTTTTTCTCAAATGAAAGTTTGTCATACATATGAATTAATAAATGCACCAGTTTTTAATAGCAACAATTATTTGTTCATTCTTATTTTAGAAAATAATTGAAATTTCATTAAATTTCTCAAATGTTTGGTACAACAATATCCAAATTTATAAATAATAACATATACATGAAAAATCTAGTCTTCAAACAAAGCAATGATACATGTATTAGTGCATATTTCAATTATATAATTCACCTTTCAATTACATGAGGAGTTACATACCTCTCACAGTATATTTCAGATTTAGAATATGCTGCATTAATTAATATCTGAAAAATTGATTAAAGGCCATGGATGACATAGATTTATTAGAAATACAAATGTATCCAGTAATTCTTGGCAAATTGTACCATTAAATTATCACTCATCAGCAATAAACATTTAAAGTCAGGTACTTGTTCACTTGCAATTAGAATTAAATGTACAATAAAATTTTGAGTTCTTAATTGGAGTACATCAAGTAAATCATGTTTACTGTTGGCCTGAAAGAGGGACTGACAACTTCACCTTGCATGTAAAGCAAAAAAAATAATAGTCTCGTTTCCTGCGAATTTAAAACGGGGCGAAATGAAATAATACATATAATTTCTGTAAGTAAACTATGAATGAGTTTAAAATGGAACAAAATTGTTTCTAAGTGTAAAAGGTTGAAAATTAAACGGGGCGAAAATACCCCTGTATACAGTATCTAATTAAAAATGTCACGTGTCAATTTTGACTTTTAAAATTAAAGAATGAGTGCACTCTGTAAGTCTTTGGAAACTTTTCGGCTACCCATTTTGATATTTTATTATGTAAGAAATACATAGAAGGATTGGGCAGCAGGCACAGCCTATATAAGCCCTCTCCATTGGCTACCCAAGGAGTTAATATCATGTATTTTATGAAAGTCCATATTTAATTCCATCGTTGGAAACCTAAGGTCGGTCTTGCTTTTCTTACCGAGACATTAAGAAAAGCGAGACAGACCGTGGGTTTCCGACGATGATTTAAAACAGAATTTCATGAAATGCTTGTTCTGTGTTAACAGGGAAACCAGTTACAGTGTCAGAATGATAATATTCTGATTTATTCTTTTAAATCTATAAAAAAATTTAGGATCAGGTGCAAAAAAATTAGGGTAGGTCGGGTAGCAGCAAACAAGACTATTATTTTTTTCAGCCTTAACAAATGACAAACTAATGGAATTAACTAAATTACATTTCAGAATCTTTTCCAGTGTGCAATTCTTTCATTTTCATTTTTACGTACATGGTATTGACTCGATAAAACTCAGCTTCTTCTTTAAACTTCTTGCTTTCCTGGATATATTTTTCTCTTTCTGCTCTTAGTGTCAAGATTTCATCCTCTTCCATAGTCTTCCTTTTTTTTTGATGTCTTTGCCGAGGAGAATGAACGAGGAAGCTCCAAATTTACAATACCTAGCTGGGTTGCATCATTCTGTATCTCATAGATGGCTGATACACCTAAATTTAATTAACAGAATTGAATAACATATACAAGAAGCTTATGGGCCACATCGCTCACCTGAGCACTATGGCTAGGAAAAAGCAGAAATTAATTTATTATTGAAAAGTTTAACCCCAAAGAATCCCAACAATTCCTTAAAGGAGAGAGGGTATGATTTGCACAAACTTGAATCTACACTACCTGAGAATGCTTCCATATAAATATAAAGGACTTTTCTTGAAAAGAAGATTTTTAAAGAATTTTCCTAGATATTTCTATGTAAAACTTTGATTGGCTATTGTGGCCCTGCCCTTCTCTCTGGGGTCATGATTTGAACAAACTTGAATGTACACTACTTGAGAATGCTTCCCCATAAGTTTAATCTTTCCTGGCACAGTGGTTCTTGAGAGGAAGGATTTTTAAACATGCCACCAAATTTTCACTATTTCTGAATTATCTCCCTTTGAATGAGGCCGTAGCCCTTCATTTGGACAAACTTGAATCCCCTTTACCCAAGAATGCCTTGTGGCAACTTTAGTTGAAATTGGCCCAGTGGTTCTAGAGAAGAAGTCAGAAATGTGAAAATTTTACAGACTTGCAGACATCCGGATGCCAAACAAAATGTGATCAGAAAAGCTTAATTTCGTCTTTAATTGACAGAATGCATTTTTAAATAATTCTTTTTAGAGTTGGTTGCACAATAATATCATTGAGACATAAGGTAAGCCTTACCTGTACCACTTGCACTTGTTAATGGCATGCAGTCATTTGTCATGGTATGCATTTCCTCTGGTACAACTGTTAGAATTACTAAAAAAAACATGTTACAATGACACTATGTTTTTACAGTTTTAAAATAAAGCAGTACATATGTATATAATCATGTAAATTAATGTTTTTATAGTTATAAATTAGTGCATTTATACATATATGTACTTCAACGATTAACACTGCACAGTATTTTAAAACCTACCGGTACATTTGTTATGTTCCAGTGAGGTTAAAAATGAAAATTTATTGTCTTTCGAATTAAAAAAAATAAATCATCAGGGTATTTTTAGAGACTACC